ACCAGGGATTTTCCTCAATAGACCCAGACCATCCACCATCAGGAGGCTTGTGTAGCCTACGGGGGATGAGGGCGTCGGCTCTGGGAGATCTCTCGACACCCACCGCGCCCAGCCCTTGCCTTGGTCACCCATGTAACCACCCCCTGTTGCCCTTTTCTCCTTCCACTCCCTGCCCGCACTCCCGCACCCCTCTCCCAGCGCCGACTACCAGGAACGCTTCAACCCCAGTGCCCTGAAGGACTCAGCCCTGTCCACCCACAAGCCCATTGAGGTGAAGGGGCTGGGCGGCAAGGCCACCATCATCCACGCACAGTACAACACGCCCATCAGCATGTACTCCCAGGACGCCATCATGGATGCCATCGCAGGGCAGGCCCAGGCCCAGGGCAGTGACTTCAGTGGGTAAGCACCTCCCTCCTCCACTGCCACTCAGCGCCTCCAGAGCCCAAGGGGTCTGGGCCATTGGGCGCCATCGGGACCAGCTTTCTTCCCTCATGTTGGACCTGCTGGAGGCGTGGCCCTTGGAGGGGAGCCAGCCTTCCCCAGGGCCTTCTGGAACATGGGTATCCTCTCTTCAGACCCTCTCCACAGTCAGCTTTAGGAGAGGGGTGGAGAAATGCAGAAAATGATGGCTCTTCAAAGTGCTTTTCACAGCCTCTGCATTTCCCAGGCTCCATGAGGAGGCTGGCATAAGAAGAGACTTCTACAGTGCTCTTAACAAGGGGACCATTCTGGAGGCCCCCAGGCCTCTCACAGCAAAACTGTCCTTTGGGGAGGGGGACGTTGCCAGGTTCTTCCAGCACTGAGAATCAATTCAAATACACTCACTGGGTTTCTGGTTTGGGAAGGGGTCTGCAACCAACCATCCACAGTAGTGCTGGCAACCAGCCCCACTGATGGCAGCAATCCCCTCCTCTTTGCCCCAGGAAGCCTGGCCTCAGGGCAGTGGCATTTAAGACATCCTTGGTTCCTGGAATTCACCCGTTAGCTATGGTTGGGGAATTTGAGGGGTGGTAAAAAAAAAAAAAGAGTTGGCTGAAAATCATTTGTGGATGAAAAATGCTAGCAATGCAAACATTCCTGCAGACAGACCTCTCTCTGTGTGTCTCTGTGTCTCCTTCTCTGTGTTCTCTTTCTGTCTTCCTCCTTGTCGCTCTTTCTCTCTCTCTCTCCCTCTCTCCCTCTCTTGTGTGTGTGTCTGTCTGTTGTTTCTTACACACACACACACACACACACACACACACACACACAGAGTCCCTCACTGTTTTCAACTTGGGAATACCACAGTGTTGGCTGATTATCAATCTGGGTCAGGATCCCCTCGGAACTCCCGGCAGAAAGTCTTGAAATGATGGCGATGCTTTTTTTCCCAAAGCCAGGAAAACATGTAATAAGAGGGATGGAGGGATTTTAAAAATCCCAGAGAACCCAATTGTGCTTGGCCGCTCCGGAGCCCAGCCCAGCTTTTGTGGCCCTGATGTGCGTGCAGTTTATAAACAGCAGGCTCCCCAGGCCCAACGGTGGAACAGTGTGGGCTCCCTGGGCTCTGCTGGAACTGGGGAGCCTGGGACCCTCTCAAAGATGCAGTACTTCCTCTAGGCCACCAGAGAGCAGAGGCTGCCTGTCCTGGAACTTCAAGTCAAACTCCCAAGGCTCAGGGCTACTGCTCTTTGCATAACTCTGGACAAGGTTGATTGAATTCCATCATTCAGAGCAGAAAATATGATCCTGCAAGTTTAAAAACACAACCATTAGCTCATGCGTAACCAGAAAAACAAGGCTGCCTGACTAAACCCCAGAGCTAACAGGGATTTCCTGTTAACATTTCTTTGTCACGTGTGTCCTCAGTGTGCTCTTAAAAGTAGCAGCAGTCGCCAAAGGGAAGTTCAGCGGAAAATAATGGAAGAACTGCTCTTCACTAACTTTCTGCTGTCTGCACGTTGGGAAGACTGCTATCATTTTGTCTCACCACTAGGGCACCCATCAGTTTTGGAACTGATGCACTGTTGATTAATCGAGGCTTCTCAAAGAACCTTTCCCATCTCCCTCCTGTCCCCTCCCACCCCCTCCCTATTCCTCCTCTGGCGTGCCTGGAAAGGGTCCTCTTCTCCCCTTCCTCTTAATGCGGCCACGCTGGGCTGATGATGCCGTGGTGCCAGTGAGTAACCTCTCGGCCATAACATGCTCCCATTTCTGCTGTTAATTTCCATGGTTCCTTCCTCACTGACCGTATTTTTTCTCTTTTTCTTCCTCCTTCACCCACCCCATCCCCATAACTCATTTCTGACCCTAACCTGGCTCTCTTGTGTGCGCTGCCCCTCTGCTATCCCATGATGGACGCGCACTCACGGCTGAATTTTCCTCTGCTTGGCAGGGCGTCACCGCTGGTGTAAGTAGACCCTGCAGTGTCTGTCCCGTCGTCCATCTGTCTGGTTGTGGGATGGTATGTGGGTTTGGTGGGATGTGTCTGAGGACTAGTGGTCAGCCCACGTGCTCTGTCCACGCTCCTCCTCACACCTCCTCACACCCACCTCTCAGCCAAATGACATCCCTTGCAGCCTGCACAGGCAAGTACTTGTCTCTTAGGGTTTGTCCCAAACAATATCACCATGGTCACAAAATCACAGAGTAATGACACTCATGCTGCAGGCTCCCCAGGCTGGGGGTGCATACCTGTGTTGTCTTTGCCATGCTTTGGGGCAGCTCCCCACGCCTTTTCTATCTGCACTGAGACACTGTAGACCTGGACATTAGAATCCACACTGGGACATTATTCATGGCTAAAGGTGGCAAGGTAACCTCTTGGAGACCACTCCCCGGAATCTTCATGGGAAGTGGCTCTGCAGGAGCCAGTGCCTGCCATGACCACCCATGGAGGGGAAAGATGAATCAGATTTGAGGACTGCACACAGTGAAGTAAATGCAACGGTGACCCTGGGGTGTGTTTTCTGTGGCAAGAAGAACAAGCTGGGAGTGGGTCCAGAGAGTGGCCTTGGCCAGGGCCCCAGGCCTGCAGGACCTAGTCCATCTTCTCTGCATATATTTTCCCTGAGCCTTGATACCATGAGGGCACCGCAGTTTCCTCATCTGACTCCCAGTCTTGGTCACGGCAGCAACACAAGTCCCCTGTCTTTGCATGGGGTGGTGGGAAATGAAGCCAGAAACATTGAGTCCCAAGGGACTGACTCCTGACAGCTTTCTTGAGCCCTTGGAGCCAAGAAAGGCACAGGGGAGCTCCTCCTGGGCATGTTCCGTGGAAACAGCAGCGAACACCTTCCATCCACTCTCTGGATTGCAAAGCCTCATAGAGAGGCTCAAGGGCCTTGCAACCACACCTTCCTTCCCTCCTTCCCTCCCCTCCCAGTGGGACAGGAGCCAGGACCCAGGAGACCTGGTTGTGACTTCCTGTTGCCCATCTCACCCAGACCTCAGGAACCTTTGGGACTCCTCCCTATGCCAGAAATGGCCTGTCCCAGCCAACAGCAAGATCCCACCCTCTCCTTTGCTTCCTGGGCAGCTGCAGGCTCCTCCTTGGCTGGACCCCAGAGGCCTCTGCTGGTCTTTCCCATCCGATCCCAACCATAGGCCACCAGTGTACCTATAGCTCTTTGGGCCAGGGCAGGGCCCTCAGGGAAGTCAGGGCCACTCCACCCAACCTCAATCGCCTTTCTGCACCTATGTTCTTATAGCCCACCCTGAGCCAGACACAGGGACCAGTCCTGGGAGACTAGGCCAGTTCCCTGTCCCACTCCTTGCAGGGAGAGTATGAGACATGGACAATGGCAAGGTTCCTCTCCCAGCCAACCAGCCCACTGGGGGAAAGGGAGAGGCAGGCAGGAGAGTGCTGGACAGGGCATGTCTCCAGGTACAGATCCAGGGCCTTCCATAGGCAGAAGCAGCCTTCCTGAGCCCTATGACTACAGGGGACCTCATGGAAAGGACACAGGGCTAGCAGCCAGGAAACCTAGGTTCTCGCTCAGTGGGGCTCCTATCCTCTGTAACCTCGAGCTAGTTGGCTGGCCTCTCTGGGCCTCAGTTTCAGCATCCGTAGAGGAGAGGGCTGGGTCAGCAGTCTGTTATTGCTGTGGGCTTCACCTGAGTCCTCCCAGGCCTCTGAGAAGGTGGGCTGGGCAGCCTGATCCTCTGGCCCCCCAGCCAGGGTGAGTGGGCACCTTTCCGTCATGGCCTGCACTGCGGTCTGATTCAGGCTGGGAGGCACTGGGCCTGAGGGTCTCTGGGGTCCCTTCTGGCTCTGATCTAGGATTTGTTTATTCAGCCAAGAGCTTTGTGTCCCTACCATGTGCCAGACCCTGGGAGTCTAAGGGAAGGTCACCTGGTCTCCTACAAAGGGCTGTGCTTCCCTGGGACAGAGGACCAGTGGCTCCCATGCAGCCCCACTCCCAACTTCCCCAGGCCAGAAATCCCCTGTCCCTATAGGCCATACCGGGGCCATGCCTTGCTGCCTAGTTTCTTACCGCCTCCCGGCAGAGTCGACTTGCTCACACTGACCCCCGTCCTCTTCCAGGGCAGACCCGGCACTGGCAGCTCCTTGTTTGGACCCAAAAGTATGAGGAGGGCAGCAGATGGACCCTGAGGAAGCCTCTGGGTCCCCCAAATGTCCTGTCCCCAGCCAGGTCCAAACTCATGGCCTGCTCAGGGAGGTCAAGGAAGACCTGTTCTGTTTCCTCCTTCTGTAAAGGGGATCTGAGGGTGGGGATGTCTCTGGGCCTAGGCCTGGAGCGAGCACGGAGGAAGGGCAGACCTGAGGGACCTGAGCTTCCTGCCTCTCACAAGGGAGAGGAGTAACTGCTTCACTGCGACCACACTGAGCACCGAGGACCCAGGTCATGCCCGTGTCTTGGGGTTCTCAGACAGCAGTGGGTAAAGGCAAGGTGGGGACAGAACAATAGGGGCCACCAGTGGGCGTGGAGCAGGGCCCCAGCGGGGTGGGAGCCAGGTTCCAGCCTAGCCCTCACCCACGGCCTCTCTCTGCATTGCAGGAGCCTCCCTGTTAAGGATCTCACCGTAGACAGCACCTCTCCCGTGTACCAGGCTGTGATTAAGAACCAGAACAAGCCGGAAGACGAGGCTGACGAGTGGGCCCGCCGCTCCTCCAACCTGCAGTCTCGCTCCTTCCGCATCCTGGCCCAGATGACAGGGACCGAATTCAGTGAGTGCAGGCTCTCGGGGTGGGCGCAGAGAAAGGAGATGCTGAGGGGCCACCAGGGGCCTGGGCCCAGCGCTGCAGAAGCCAGGGAGTCCTGCTCCCTGCCCTTGAAGGTGGACTGGCCGCGATGGTTTGCCCGAGGCCAGCAGGGTTTCTTCTGGGCCCCTCAGGCGGACTGTCCAGTGACAGCAGCCTTCTGCTCCAAGGCCAACTCCCAACAGTGAGTGGTAGGCTTGGTGAGCAGCTTCCGGGCAAGATGACTGCCCAGGGCTGGGATGAGACCCTCACAGGCCACCCCCTGACTCTTTCCCAGTGTCCTCTGGGGCCTCTGCCCAGCACACAGTGCACAGGTGAGGGGGCAGTCACCACACAGGGCCTGGCTGAATCCTGGGACTCAGTGCCCTCAGAGCCCCAGCAGCTTTCCTTGCTGTGTCTCCTCTGTCCCCTGACCCGCTCCTTTCTACCCACAGTGCAAGACCCTGATGAAGAAGCTCTGCGAAGGTCAAGGTAAGTGTCTGGACTCAGGCTCTGTGGCCTTGCCCTCCAGCCCCTTCCCTCCCTGGGCAGCCCCCAGGCCACATGACTCATGGAAGGAACCTCTCAAGTTCATGGATTTGGAAAGCCTGGCCTGCAAAGGGCTGCAGCTGACAGTGGCTTGAGGCAGCATCCTGGGTCAGTGAGGGGAGCACCTGGACCCGAGTCTCTGTACCTCAGGCCCAGGCTACAGGAGCAAAGGCCCTGGGCTCTCCCAGCTTAATCCCTGGGAAGGGGGGCAGGGCTGCTTTGGCCTTTGCTGGGCTGTTGAGAATGAGGGCATCTTTCCCTGTGAGGACACCCGGCTGGCCCCTTGCCCACCCACTCATCTCAGGGCCTGTCCCCCTGTGAATCCCAAGGCTGGGCACTGGGAAACAGGCACGCAGGGGGCTGTGCTGGACATGAATGCCCGACTTACCTGTCCAGACCTACATTGAGGTACCAGCTCTGTAAACTGCTAAAAGCATGATACCTGCTGAAAGAAAGAACAAGCCCTGGACATGAGGACAGGTTTGTGCCAAGCTGGGGGTCTTGGGGCATGGTTTCCCCACCAGCGGCAGATCTGAGGCCACAGCCACTAACCTACCATTGTGGCCCGTCAGGTGCTCATAGCATGAGGTGGGCATGAGGGGGGCATGCTGTCCTGGAACTCACTGGAACCCTCTAGGGCCTTCCGTGGTGAGGAGTGGGGCTCAGTGTGATTGTATGTACACTTTAGGTAGCAAATATGTCATCTGCATGCTCTTCCTGGCACTGTCTGCCTTGGGTCAGTGCATCCTGTGGCGGCCTCTGTGCAGGGGGCTGGGGCTCAGAGGCACCCTCCCACCCTGGGCCAAGCTTTCTGTACTTGCTAACCAGCAGGCCCAGCACACAGTGGCCATGGGACCCGCACAGAGTAGGACTCTGGAGCCAGCTTAGACTTGATGTGGATTTTATTTTTGGACCAATACTTTTGCCAACTCAAGTTGCTCCCATTCTCTGACCAGGCATCCAAGCCTAAAGTGGGGTCCTCCCAGGCCTGCCAAGGATGGCATGCAGTCCCAATAACAGTTCTTAACCCTTCAGTGCCTTCAGGGCATCTAGAGAGTCCGCAATGAAGTAACGTTTGATTTAGCGCAAAAGTTCAGCTCCAGCTACTTTGAGTACCGGAGCCCTCAGCTGTCTTCCCCCAGCTGTGCTCCACTGTCCCTGCATGCTGCTCCCATGCTTGTCTTGCCCTCCTCTTAGAAGTCACCCATGTGGCTGCTTCTGTGAACAATGCAGATGTTCCCAAACATTTGATGAAGGAGTCTTTAAATCACACATCCCCCTGGGTTCCTTCCAGCAAGAGGCCAGCAGGGGGCCTTTTTCCTCCCTCCTGAAACACAGAGCCCTGCCTTCCTGGCCCCTGCGGCTTCCTTCAGGTTCTTTAATGTTCTGCTTCCCTCTAGTATGCAAGGTCAGGCTCAGCTTGTGCCTCGTTAACCAAATGTCATTAGAACAGGAAAGAGTACCGTGGAGGTGGATTGCAGCAATCTTTTGTCTTTTCTTTCTCCTGGAATATTCACAGGCTCTGTAAAGTTATTGAGTGAGGACAGCACAAAGGCGGTAGTGAGGGTGGTCCCCAGGCCTCGTCCTTGGCCTTCCCCTTCCCTCCTTCCAGGAGCATTTCTTGAAGTTTGTTCTGCCTGGTCTTGAGGGTATTTGAAGGGTAGGAGGTTAGTCTTTCCCCCAACGGCCTAACCCCATGCAAGCTTGCTTCAGCCCAGCAAAAGGCAGCTTTCGGAGCCTCTCCCCGAGCTAGGGCAGGGTTTCATCCCTGGGAAATCTGGAAAGAGGGTCTGGGAAGTGGCTCCAGTTGACTTCCTCCCTCAGTCTCAGGCAGCTTCCCTCACCCCATCAGTACCTCCCTCTGGGGTCTCAGGCCCTGCATTAGAGGCTCTGAGGCACCCAGCCAGCCTCTGCCCACGTCTGGAGGGGCTCCTCTCCCTTCTTCTGATTTTAATTTCTGGAGGGTTGTCCTCATGGGCAGAGCCACCCATGTCACTGAATCCCAAGCAGTTATCCCACAGACACAGAGGCGGGTACAGTAGGTGTAGCCCGTCTAATCAGTCTGTGATACAAGCCTAAAGCAGTGTCTGCAGTCTTTGGTCATGGCTGGGGCCCCAGGCTCACCCATGTTGCAATCTGAGCAGAAGGGAACACGACTTGTCCCACCCTGGTCCAGGCCGGTCAGGGGTCTTGCTCCTCAGGGGCCTGAGCCACACTTCTATCTGTCCCCACTCCCAAGTTGGAAGCTGCACCCCTAGACTCTCCTGACCCACCTTGTTGGCTGAGAGTAGCTACCGCCTCCTTCTCTTTCTCCTCCCAAATCCCAGCAGGGATTCTAAGGATCTCTCTTGAAGGCTGAGCTTCCCCAGGGAGGCTTCACTGTAAACTGCTTCCAAGTGTCTCACTCCAGCAGAGCCTGTGTTTGCCAAGCCTATGCACAGTGGCACCTACGCAGTCTTATGCCCATGCCAAGGTGCTTTCTCCTTCCTGGTGCTGTGTGGCGAGAAAGTTAGCAGGAATGTTGAGTGAGAAGTGTCAGGCATTCTGCACCACGCAGGGGCTCTGGTGACCTCTAGGTCAAGTATGAATCCACATGTCAAGAATACCTTGCAGGCTTTCCCTTCACCTCCATCACTGCTCTGCCTCCAAGCCCCACCCCCTGCAGAGTGCCAGGGCAGTTCACAGCCCTCTTCTCTGGCTCCTGGCTCCTGATAGTATCTCTGTGTCTGGTAGTATGTAGCTTCCATCTGAGCCTTCAGTGCTAACCTGCTGGCCAGCCCAAGACAGAGTCTAATTTCCAGGGACCCTGTCTTTACAGGTGAGGTGGGGGAGGCCTGAACAGCCCAGGCATCAGCTGTAAATTTGGCTGCCCACCCTAGAAGGATCCAGGCACCTTAGGAAACCGTCCAGACTGGCTAGAACATCAGCCTCCTGCCTGCTTCCCCATGGGAGCTACTGTAGTAGGTATAGGTGATGCTGTGGCTCCCCCATTTCCACTGGAGGTAGCTGAAATAGTGCCTCCAGCCCACAAGCTAAGCCCCTAATCTCAGAGTAGTCGCCACAGCTTCCTTCTGACTTTGGAAAGACATTCCGGACCCTGATCATCCAAAAGGTCAGATCCACATTGGGCAGACTCGCTGGGGATAGGAGTGGGGACAAGCCCGGCCCGGTGCCAGGCAGGGCTTGGATCTGTGAGGCATCTGGATCCCACTACTTGGGGGAACCATCCTGGATGTAGCCCGGCATGTAACCCAGACATGCCCCTGATCCCTCATAGGTGCAGCCTCTGTGTTTCCCTGATGCCTACCTGGGTAAAGAGCTCTGCATCTCCCCATTTTCCAAGCGTTAAGAGCAAAGTTGATCTTAGTGAAGAGTCCCTAGAGTGGCTGCAGGTGAGGGTTGCATCACATGGCCCTTACATCCCAGACCATGTAAAAAGCCTTCCATGCCCCTTCTTCATCGTGCAGCCATTAAGCTTCTTCCAACAAAATGCTCCGGCTCACTGGCTCCCCCTCTTCCCTCCTGCAGCCTCGCAGATGCCCCCTCCCCTCCCTCTGCTGCGCAGTCTCTCAGTTTCGCCCCCACCTGCAGCTACCTCGCTTGCACGCACAGGACACTGCCACCAACGCTCCCCACCCACCGCCTTGCCAAAGGGCCCCTTGTAAGAAGGCAGTGAAAAAAATACCTCTCTTTTTTTTTATTTTGAGTCCCTGGTATTCTGCCACCCTAGCAAGTTTGAAAACTACACTGGAGCACCAGGGATGTTGCCCCAGGTGCCACCCCCTGAGCAGCCCCTGGGGGGTCTTCTTCCTTGCCCTTGCTCTCCTGTCTCTTTTCCTCTCTCCTGTGCTTTCCTCTCCTGGCTCCTTTCCTTGGCTAGCTGAGGATTTCTAAACAGCTCCAAGCAGAGCATGCTCACTAGATCGGACTCTCCAGGACTGCCTCTGACCCCTGTCACTAAGCACTGATGGCAAACTGTCACCCAGCCACCACAGGCCTTGCTAGGACTTGGCTATTTACAGGCAAACTGTGTCTGATCTTGTGCCCTGTGTTCTAGGTAGTGTCTATGGGATGGTCAGGACTGTCTGTAGTGCTTTCAGCAGGGCTCAGGGAACCCCGCCACTCGGCCTTTGCTCATGCCATCTCCACCCCTTCACTCCAACCTCAGACAGGCAGGGATGTGGCAAGGGAAGGAGGCTCCAGCACTTAGACTGTGATTCTCCCCTGTGTTTCTGTGTGGCTTTAGGCCATTCATGTGACCTCTCTGGGCTTCAGCTGCCTCTTAGTATAAGGAAAGTTTGGACTAGAACTGTGGTTTTCAAATACGTTATATATTAGCAGTGGGCCCCCTTTTGTCAAACGGTCTTAGACAGAGACCCAGTATGCAGGACTCAAGGGGTAGAGAGAGACAGAGACTGCCAAGGAAAGCAGGTGCAGGACTGTGGGACTCTGTGAGTGTGGAGATGTGGGGGCCAGCCTCTGATGACTGTTACTGTGCAGAAATATAAGGCCAGCACTACTTACCTGGCAGGGGAGATACCATGATCACGAAGGTGGTTTTCCCAAGGCAAAGCTTATCCATTGCACTCCAGATATGTTGACCCCTATGATTTCCCCAAATGTGGGAAACTCGACTGCATAATTTGTGGTAGTGGGGGACTGTATTCCCACTTTCCCCTGGTCTTTCAAAAAAAAAGACCAGCACTGCAACATCTTTTTTTCAAAGACTTAATGTTGCTCTTCCTGATCTTTATATACTAGTAATTCACTTTTTCTTTTGAGATGAAGTGTCGCTCTGTTGCCCAGGCTGGAGTGCAATGGTGCGATCTCAGCTCACTGCAACTTCCACCTCCTGGGTTCAAGCAATTCTCCTGCCTCAGCCTCTGGAGTAGCTGGGATTACAGGCATGTGACACCACACCCGGCTAATTTTGTATTTTTAGTGGAGATGGGGGTTTTACCATGTTGACCAGGCTGATCTTGAACTCCCGACCTCAGGTGATCTGCCTGCCTCAGCCTCCCAGAGTCCTGGGATTACAGGCATGAGCCATCATGCTCAGCCAACGTTGTTTTGTTTTGCTTTGTTATTTGAGATGGAGTGTGAGGCAGAGTCTCGCACTGTCGCCTGGGCCGGAGTGCAGTGGCAGATCTCGGCTCACTGCAACCTCTGTCTCCCAGGTTCAAGCGATCTTCCTCAGCCTCCTGAGTAGCTTGGATTACACGTGCCCGCCACCATGCCTGACTAAACTTTTTTTTTCTTCTATAGCAT